CAGCGCCCGCTCCTGACCTGCCCCGACCCGCAGCCCGAGCACGCTGCGGCCGCCCACGCATCCCTGGCTGGACGACCCGCGCGCCGAGGTTGCTTCCTGCACGTGGGCCCCGGAACTCTCGACCTCCCCCGCCGGGGCTGGTTTCGCGTCATGGGCCCGAAAACACACAGAGGAAACGCACGCATATACACACACACACACACGCATATATACACAAACACGCACATACACAGTGTTTGGCGGTCGCGACCTCGCTCGCAGCGTCAAGGCGGAGTGAGGGCGAAACGGGTGTGCGCGCGGCCAGGCCGTCAGGCGAGAACGCTTGGAATCCGGTGCATGCCCGCAGCAGCAAACCATCCGAGCGTGGCTGGCGGGGAGGTGACACGCCGCGCAACGCTGGACATCCCAAACGGGGACGTAGCGCGAGAGCATGAATGGTGAGAGTGGTGAGTGGTGATGATGGTGGGTGGTGAAAGAAGTGGGAGCGGTGAGTGGTAAGAGTGGTGAGAGCGGTGGCTTGTGAGTGGTAAGAGTGGAGAGACGGGCGAGAGTGATGAGACGCTGCACAACGCAGGCGGTCTGGAGACCCCTGCGGGGTTGTGACAGACCCATGAGAGGGAAGGGAAGGCCACGGCAGGCCAGCAGAGGGCGCAGAAGGGAACGGACACAGGGTCTGGAGTGAGAAAAGGGACGAACCCCGGGCGAAGCGAAGCGTGGAGGCACGCGGAGTGGCCACCCAGCGGACGCAAGAGGATGGAAGCGAGGAAAGGCCGGAGTCCAGGCCGAGTTAACGGCGAGGCCGCCCTCCGCGCCCAGAATGGGCGCGGGAGGCGGGGCGCTTGCGCGAAGCAGCGCCGCCGCCGTCCCTGGGAGCGACGCAGGGGCAGCGCCAGGGGCGGCGGGGGGAACAGCCTGGACAACCTCCGCAGGGGGGGAGCGGGTGAAAAGGCTGAGCGGACTGGATGGGAAAGCGGAGGGCCCGCGTGGGCTTCGCACAGCGGCGGGAGAGGCCGCGGACGAGGCGTTCTTAGCGGCCCCGATGCACCATTCCGCGCTGACGTAGTCAAGCCCTTGTCCCGCATGGCGGAGACCTGGGAGAGCAGGGCGTGGTAGGAGGCCTGCCCGCGGAGGAGGCTCTGCGCCACGTCGCGCTGCGGTTCGCCAGTCACGTGGCGCCAGCCCCGGAGGCGCCCCGAGTCCCACCCGTCGACCACGGCCTGCCAGTACTTGGACTCCACCAGGCGCGGGTCGGCGCGAAAGCACGGAGCACCTCTGGGAGCGTCACAGACGAGCCCTTCCCGATGTCGGGCCGCCCGGGGCCCCTCCCGACATCGCGGACGCGCCTGAGCAGGTCGGCGCTGGGGCAGGGCGGCCCCCGGGGCCGCGCCCGCGGGGCTGCCCCGAGGCAGGGACGCCCGAGGGCCAGCTCGGCCGTGCCTCTGCGCGCCCCGTGCCCGAAGGCGCGGCCGAGGAAGGCGTCAAGGTGCTCGTCTGAGCAGCGCTCTGGGCCGCCCTGCGTGAGGCTCTCCCTGCGGGGGAACTCGCGCGAGGGCCCGGCTCGGCGGAGCCCGAGCTGCACGTGCGCGTGGGCCACCGGTGCCTCGTCGCGCAGCGAGGGGCTGCAGACGGGCGCCTGCGCGAGGTCAGCCAAGGGGCCAGTCTTAGGTCGGGCATGTCCTCCTACAGGCGGATTTTTGTTGACAACAAATGCTCGTAAATAGTAAACACAAAATCGTCCCCAGACTATGCTGTGACCATTTTTGGAAGTTCCTCCTGTAGGGGGGCACGCCCGACGTAAGGGCCAGTCGGCGGAGGAGAGGCGGCGGCGCCAGCGCCGTCGCCAGAGGCGATCGCCACGTACGTCCTTTCCGCTCTCAACTTGCAGACGGCGATGGCCAGCGCCAGCAAGCACAAGGCAGGCCCTGAAGCGTCCCCCGGTAATCCAGAACATCCCGAGGTGGAGCACGCACTAGACCGAGTTGAGCGGATGTCACTGAGCTCAAAAACATGATGAGAGGGTTGACGAACAAGGTCGACGAAAGCTCCAAAGTCGCTAATTACGTATGCCCACGCCTCCGTCACCTCAGCCCAACAATCAGCCTGCGCTGCACAAACCAGCAGCGCAGGGGTTGAGCACGACCTCAAGAGGACAAACGAGCGCCTCGACATAATAGACACGAAGATCCACGCCATCAAACAGTATAACAAGGATGCCAGCACCAACACCAGCCTCTCCAACACAACTCCAGCAGAACGCACACGGCAAGTAATGGTGGTTGGATTCCACGAGCGCCCAGCTGCAGGTAAGGTCATCGGCGAGATCATGGGCGCACTTGTGAAAAACTTGGGCCATTCGATGTCCTCCAAGGTGGACTTCTACAAGCAATGTCGCAACAACGACAACGATCCACTGATCAAGGGAAAGGTGCTCAAGAACAATTTAGCACTTAAGGAGCAGAAGCAGGACAAGCACCTCGGGTATACGAAGCACCAACCTGGC